CGTGTTAGGGCTGGTGCTTGAACCACTGGAGTATCCAAGAGAACTGGCAGTTCAGTTTAGCTTTATCCCCCACTCAGGGGGTTGAGCAGGGAGCTCAGGCCACTGTGCATTCCACAGACCACGTCACTGCCTGAAGCAACAGAGCTTCCCCCATAAACAAAGGTCATGCATAAACCCATCGGATTCCACTGCAGCTGGCTTTTACCAGTAAATACCACCTGCTGGCCTGCACAACCCAATATAAATTCTGCTGCCACAAGTGCAAAGCAAAGGAGAACAAGATAACTTCCTGAGAACTCTGCCTTCCAGGCCCAGCGGGAGATGGGTGAGGACCCTGCTCACACACCCAGCACATCACTACTATCACTAGCATTTGAGAAAGCTACCACAAAAAGGCCATCTATAACCAAGAAACTCAGAGTCTTTGTCACTGAAAGCAACCAGAACTGAAGTCAAACAACTATATACAACATACATTATATTCACATTCTCAAGGGAAAAAAAATTCTGCCAAAGTAAATTTAAAAATAAAGAAGAGACAGTTTATCCAGATGAGAATGAAGCAGAGTAACAACTCTAGAAGTATTTAAAAAAAAAAAAAAAAAGAGTGCTGCAACATCCCCAAGACTCACACTAACTCTCCAGCAGTGGACCCTAATGAAAATGAAATCCTTGAAATACCAGATAAGGAATTCAAAATATTGATTTTAAAGAAGCACAATAAGGTCCAAGAGAAAGTCAAAAAACCAACAGAAACCAGAAAAACAATACAGGATCTAAATTAAAATTTTACTAGAGATAGCTATTTTTTAGAAAACCAGACAGAAATTCCAGAAATAAAAAATTCATTGTAGGAATTACAAAATACAATTGAAAGCTTGAACAGCAGACTAGACCAGCAGAAAAGAGAATCTGACAGCTTAAAGACAGGTTTGAATTAACCCAGACAAAAGGTATAAAACTCACATATCTACAAAAAAAAAAAAAAGATCCAACCATATGTTGCTTACAGAAAACCACGTAACTGGTAAAAACAAAGACTCAAGGTAAAGAGGTAGGAAAAGATATTCCATGCAAATAGAAACCAAAAGTGAGTAGGAGAAGAAATACTTGGACAAAACAGCCTTTTAAGTCAACAACAGTTAAAAGAGAAAACAAAAAGACGACCATTAAATAATGATAAAGGGATCAATTCAACAAGATATAGCCATCCTAACTACAAATGCACCCCACACCAAAGCACTCAGATTCATAAAATAATTACCACTAGACCTAAGAGACAGACAGCAATGTAATAATAATGAGAGACTTCAACACCTCACTAATAGCACTAGAAAGATAATCGAGACAGAAAATCAACAATAAAACACTGAACTTAAATCGCACTCAGGACTAAATGGACCTAAAAGACATTTAAAGAACATGCTACCCAACAACCACAGGACATACATTCCTCTTAGCACATGGAACACTCTCCAGGATAGACCATATGTTAGGCCACAAAACAAGTCTCAATACATTTTAAAAACTGAAATCATATCAACTATCTTCCCAGATCACAGTGGAATAAAACTAGAAATCAATTCCAAGAGGAGAACTCTCAAAACTACACAAATCCATGGGCATTAAACAATCTGCTCCTGAATAACCTTTGGGTCAATGACAAAGTTAGGATGAAATGTGAAAATTTTTTGAAATGAATATAAATAGAGACATAATAGACCAAAACCTCTGGGATACAGCAAAGCAGCGGTAAGACGAAGTTTATAGCACTAAATATCTACATCAAAAAGAAAGATAACAAATTAATGACCTAATATAATCCTCATGGCACTTGAAAAAAAAAAAAGAACAAACCAAGTTGAAGCCTAACAGAAGAAATAACAAAAATCAGAGCAGAACTAAATGAAACTGAGACCCCCCAAAAAAAATGCAAAGTATCAACAAAACAAAGTTGGTTCTTTGAAAAGATAAACAAAATCAATGGACCACTACTCAACCAAAAAAAGAAGAGATGCAATTCAAACAAGCACAATCAGAAATGAAAAAGTAGACATTAAAACGGATACTACAGAGAGACAAAAGATCATCAGAGGCTACTATAAACATCTCTACACTCAAAAACTAGAAAACCTAGAGGAAACGGATACAATCCTGGAAACATACAACCTCCCAATATTGAATTGGAAGAAACAGAAATCCTGAAAAGACCAGTAACAAGTAGTGAGACTGAATCAGTACTTTAAAAATCTCTCAAGAAAAAGCACAGAACCAGACAGATTGAGAGCCAAATTCTACCAAAGGTACAAAGAACTGGTACCAATCCCACTGAAACTGCTCGCTGCAAATAAAATAAAATAAAATAAAGTTGGAGGGAATCCTCCCTAACTTGTTCTATGAAGCCAGTAACACCGTAATACCAAAGCAAGGCAAGGACACAACAAAAAAGGAAAACTACAGGCCAATATTCCTAATGAATACATGCAAAAATCATGGCCTAGAAGAATTAGTATTGTTAACACGACCATAATGACCAAAGCAATCTGCAGATTCAATGTAATTTTTATCAAAGTACCAAAGTCATTTTTCACAGAATTAGAAAAACAATCCTAAAATTCATATGGAACAATATGAGTAGCCAAAGCCTGAATAGCAAAAGCAAATAACAAAGCCAGAGGCATCATGTTACTTGACTTCAAATTATAGCTGAAGGCTATAGTAATCAAACAGCATGGTACTGATATAAAAATAGGCAAACAGATCAGTGGAACAGAATAGAGAACCCAGAGTCAAAGCCACATACTTACAACCAACTGATCTTTGACAAAGCGGACAAAAACATAACACTGGGGAAGGGATACCCTATTCGATAAATGGTGCTGGGAAAACTGGACAGCCACATGCAGAAGAATGAAACTACATCCCTATCTCTCACCATACACGAAAGTTGGAGACTTAAATGTAAGATCTGAAACTATGAATATTCTAGAAGAAAACCCAGGAAACACTATCCTGGACATTGGCCTAGACAAAGATTTCGTAACTAAAACCTCAAAAGCAAATGCAACAAAACAAAAATAGACAAGATTTAATTAAACTAAAAAGCTTCTGCACAGCAGAGTAAACAGAAAACCTACAGAACGGGTGAAAATATTTGCAAACTGTTCGTCTGACAAAGGACTGACATCCAGAATCTACAAGGAACTCAAAACAATTTAAAAAGAAAAAGAACCCCTTTAAAAACAGGGCAAAGGACATGCACAGACATTTCTCTAAAGACATACACAGACATTTCTCTGAAGATATACAAATGGCCAACAAGCATATGTAAAAATGTTCCACATCCCGAATCATCAGAGAAAGGCAAATTAAAACCACAATGAGACATCATCTTACACCCACCGGAATGGCAATTATTAAAAAGTCAAAAAGCAAAAGATGTTGGGAAGAATGTAGAAAAACGGGAATGCTTACATACTGTTGGTGGGAATGTAAATTAGGATATCCTCTATGGAAAACAGTATAGAGATCTACCAAGGAACTAAAAATAGAACTACCATTCCATCCAGCAATCCCACTATTGACTATACACCTGAAGGAAAAAAATCATCATATCAGAAAGATACCTGCACTCAATGTTTATCACAGCACTATTCACAATCGCAAAGATGTGGAATCAACCCAAGTGTCCATCAATGGATGACTGGATAACAAAAAATGTGGGGGGGGTGTGTGTGATTTCATTCTTTTTTATGGTCAAATTCCACACCTTGGCCATAAAAAAGAATGAAATCACATGTTTGGCAGCAACATGAATCAAACAACAGTCCATTATCCTAAGTAAAATAACTCAGAAAGAGAACATCAAATACCACATGTTCTCACTTATAAGTAGGAACTAAACAATATGTACACATGGACATGGACAGTGGAATAACAGACACTGGAGACTCAGAAAGGTTGGGGGGTGAGGAATTAGAAATTATCTACTGGGTACAATGTACACTATTCAGGTGACAGGTATTAAAAACCCAGATTTATGACTATGCAATATATCCACGTAACAAACTGTACTTGAACCCCCAAATCTGTAAAAATGTAAAAATGTTTAAAACACAAAACAAAATGACAGAGCTACCACAGTAAGCTTCTCTCCCAAATCCAAAAGCCTAGCTAGCATCCTCTTCTAGTTATCAGACGATCGCTAGTCACATACCATCACTATGTCACGACCATCCATTGTGGTCAAACTTCATTATTCTAACTGCCTTACTGAAAGGTCACCACAGACATCCATACTGCCAAATCCAAGGGCAATGTGTCCTGCTTTTCTGTCCACCCTGCATCCCCTCCTTCAGGTATCTGCCCTGACCCCACTCCATGTAACCTAGTGCTATCAATCCACTTGGATTCATATTCTTCACAGGATAGCGATCCTGATCCAAAAGGCATACATTTGGGGAAATGAAATGAACCCTAGGAAAGAAGGGGCCGCACCTTCTTCTCTGAGACTGCCAATCCTCAGGACTATTTAACCTTTAACGTAAGCCTAACTCCAGTGACCATCTTTGATGGCACACACATTGTCTGGGAACCACAGCCAAAACTGGAAGGCACAAAGGAGTGGGAGTGCGGGGAGCACTAAAGGAAATGGGGGCTGGGGGAGAATGTAAAAACAGGGTTTAAGAAAAACGTGGGTGAGAAGGGAGAGCCATCTAGGAGACATCTTTCAATATCAAATACACATCCACATAATTCTTCATAACGGTTGTCTGCATAGTATCCACTAGACAGGACTAACCTAGTTTCAGCTCCTACTAGACATTCAAACCGTTATCATTTTTAACTACTAACAAATGTGTATTATGTATTATAAACATTTATAATTTCTAAACATTCATAATTTTTGTATAGCTATATACATAAAGCTATACACAGTCATTTTTGCAAAACTGAGGAATCATACTGCCAATCCAGTAATTTAAGGTAGTTTTACTTACCCACTGAATGATAAGTGTGTGTCTTCAAGTCGTGCATACAAACAGCACTTGATGGCCCGCACTGGACAACATCCACACTTCCGCAGATGTTGATTTTATAAAGTACATTATTTTTGGTATCAACAGCTTCCCATGTATAACTGGAAAGGAAGAAAAACAACTTGTCACTGTCACTGATTTATCAAAAATTAAACTTCTCTCTAGTTTTATTCAAGCCACATTTGCTTAAAACTGCCACAAACTAGAAAATACACTTTCCTTAGCCAAAAACACTAAAAAGTCAAGTATGTTAAGTTGCAAAGAAGCCAGGGCAGAAACTACTAACACCATCTGTCTCTGGTTCAATCCACTCTGAAGCTACCTCAGGACTCAAAGATCATCAAAATAGAAATATCTGGCTGGGCGAGGTGGCTCAGGCCTGTAATCTCAACACTTTGGGAGGCCGAGGAGGGTGGATCACAAGGTCAGGCGTTCGAGACCAGTCTGGCCAACATAATGAAACCCTGTCTCTACTAAAATTACAAAAATTAGCTGGGTGTGGTGGCACATGCCTGTAATCCCAGCTACCTGGGAGGCTGAGGCAGGAGAATTGCTTCAACCTGGGAGGTGGAGGTTGCAGTGAGCCGAAATTGCACCACTGCACTCCAGCTTGGTCAACAGTGCAAGACTCTGTCTCAAAAAAAAAAAAAAAAAAGAAAGAAAGAAGTATCTTACCATTAATTTAAGAATATCAACTCAGATCAGTGTATTGGTCTGTTCTCACACTGCTAATAAAGACATACTCAAGACTGGGTAATTTATAAAAGAAAGAGGTTTAATTGACTCATAGTTAAGCATGGCTAGGAAGGCCTCAAGAAACTTACAATCATGGCAGACGGGGAAGCAAACACATCCTTTTTCAGCAAGGAGAAATGCGGAGCAAGAGGGGGAAAAATCCCTTATAAAACCAGCAGATCTCGTGAGAACTCACTCATGATCACGAGAACAGCATGAGGGTAACCCCCGTCATGATTCAATTACCTCCCACCAGGTCCCTCCCACGACACATGGGGATTATGGGAACTACAAGCTGAGATTTGGGTGGAGACACGGCCAAACCATATTAATCAGTAATTGCTCAAGACTCATGCTGAATATAAGATAGTAATAGCCTTTCCAATCACACCAAAATGCTGAAAAGCCAAAGGATTTTTTAACTCTATTTTATTAAAAAGCTAGCTACGGCACGAAAGGCAGCTCCACTTCTGCTTTTACCTCTTAGAGCTACAGTTCAGATCTGAACTTGCAAGACAGAGCTGTGCAATGAGTCAACTATCACATTCGAAATCACACAAAATTCACTACACCAAGCATTCACACTCATCGTTCAAACCTCTGGAAAAGCAGATAGTGAGTAACTGCTAATGCATCAACCAGTATACTTGGGAAAAAATAGGTGGTTTCCCGGTTCTGCAAAAACAATTATTCTCAAATGTCTACTCTGCCCTGGGGAGAATGTTTTGTCCATTTTGTAAAATGGGGATCAATTCCTCAGCAGGAGTAAAAACAGAAAACGAAGAAAGTGTCTTAAAATGTCCTTGCAAAATGTAAAAAATAAAGGCCAGGCCAGGGTCTCATGCCTGTAATCCCAGTACTTTGGGAGGCGAAGGCCAGAGGATCACCTGAAGCCAGGAGTTTCAGGCCAGCCTGGGCAACATAGCAAGATCCCATATCTACAAAAATATTTTTTATTATTTTAAATGCAAAAGCTGTTATTTAACTCAACAGTATTGCTAAAAGGAGGGGCAATAAGTTAAATCAGAATTGCTTAGGCTAGGCCCATCCAGGAGTTGTGGAGGCCCTGGGGTAAGACCACCATATTTATCTACCTAGCAGTGTTATGCAGCCTATGCAATACCCCGTTGACGACAGAAGCACTCGCTCACAGAAGGAGGCTTCCACTTCCCAGAGCTCCCTTCCACAGTGCACCAAGGCAATGACTCAGCACAAAACCAACCATCAGGTCCACAACATGTCCTCTTCCCCCACCCTGAACTAGTTTCAGCAATGGAGGAGCCATAGTAGCCCTGTTGGGGTACTGGAAGACAAGGCGCCAAGAACTCCTAGGTCTGGAAACCCATCGAACCCACCTGCCAAGAAACCAAACCACATACACAGGCCTTTAAAAGCCGGGAGATGGAAGGTCTGATGGCCACTAAGTGGCTACAAACCTGAAGAGCAGGCTGGGGTACTTAGGTGCCCAGTCTTAGGGTGACACCCTTGGGGTGTTACTCCTCAACTCAGCTTCTTCATCAGGAACATGTTAAGAGTTATCTCCTAGACTCGGGATGAGTCAAGGACATGAAAAAATAACCCAAGTATTATCAGGCACAGAGAAAAATCATCCATAAAGGCTTGTTTCCTTTGCCCTTCATTAACCTTTATTCATGTGTTTCACAGGTATTTCTTAAGTACTTACCGCGGGAGGCACAGGAGAGTACAGCAATGAACAAAACAAAGAGGCCCTGCCCTCTCGGAGGGTATATTCCAGGTTGCAGGATACGAGATAAACAGGTAAAGACTTGGCTACTGCTCAGGAAAAATGCTAATCTCTTATCAGGAGCCATAACTAGTTTCTCCAGGATACCAGAGACAAACCTCAAGAAGCAGCAGTGGCATCATTAAGCTATTTCACAATCCTAAGTATATGATATTGGTGCATGAGGGTGTCATTTAAAATAAGTTAACTGGTAGGAATCAATGCTAAAGAGATCCACAAGTACCTAAAATGCTATGCTTTTCTTTTTTTTTTTTTTTTTTTTTAAACTGAGTCTGGCTCTGTTACCCAGGCTGGAGTGCAGTGGCCAGATCTCAGCTCACTGCAAGCTCCGCCTCCTAGGTTCATGCCATTCTCCTGCCTCAGCCTCCCGAGTAGCTGGGACTACAGGCGCCCGCCACCACGCCCGGCTAGTTTTTTGTATTTTTAGTAGAGACGGGGTTTCATCATGTTAGCCAGGATGGTCTTGAGCTCCTGACCTCGTGAACCCGCCCACCTCAGCCTCCAAAAGTGCTGGGATTACAGGCATGAGCCACCGCGCCTGGCCGGCTATGCTTTCCTTAAAAGAAATCCACCATTTTTGCAAAGGGGATATTTAAATAAGGTAAAGAGTGTGTGTGCTTGGGGAGCAGAATCAAGATTTTAAAAAGAATGAAATAAGGGATATTGTCCTGATAATCTGGAAATCAGGGCTGCTAGAGAGAAAAGTGTTGCTCTATTCAATTATATTATTTTCTCTATTTGCATTTCATACTTGTTTTGTCAAGATTCATCAAATATAAGTGGTTATGGGAGTAGGAAAGGAGGAGCCTATTAAAATACTTGAACACTGACTTTTTTCAGGGGGCTGATTTAACTACTCAGCACAAGGCAGCCCTCCTCCAGGCCTGGCAACCTCAATGCCATTCAAAGCCATCAGCAGCACTTGAGGCAAAGGTACCAATATCTCAGAGTTCTTAGTCACAGCTTTAAAATGAAGAATGGTCACAATAGGTTTCTAAACTTCACTCCAAAGACACCTGCAAGCTGTCAGTACTTAAAACATTCTGATGTTTCAACGGACATTATGTCTCCTTTAAAACAAACTAATGGCAGGGTGCGGTGGCTCATGCCTGTAATTCCAGCACTGTGAGAGGCTGAGGCAGGCAGATCACGAGGTCAGGAGTTCAAGATCAGCCTGATCAATATGGTAAAACTCCGTCTCTACTAAAAATACAAAAATTAGCCGGGTGTGGTGGTGCGCACCTGTAGTCCCAGCTACTTGAGAGGCCGAGGCAGGAGAATCGCTTGAACCCAGGAGGTGCAGGTTGCCGTGAGCTGAGATTGCACGACTGCACTCCAGCCTGGGCAACAGAGCGAGACTCTGTCTCAAAAAAAAAAAAAGAAAAGAAAAAGAAAAAACTAAACTAATACGCCTAGCCCCTAGTATCAACAGCAGCTCAGAAACAGTCATGTGGTTTAAATAATCTATCTGAAAATTTATGAAGAATATTCCAAAAACTATTATGTACTCTGGTATGCACTCTGGTTAAACTATCACTAGACATGCTTCCACTAAAGTAAATATTTTTTAAAGACTATTTCATAATAAACTTAAAATCATATAAATAACTGATAACAAGTTTTAAGAAATCACATGTTTGAAACTAAAGGATTCTAAATTTCTTTCCACATTAAAGGCTAAGCCCCCAGAATGGCCTAAGCTAAAATCATTCTTAAATTGGTATTAAAGTTTAAAAGCACCATGATCACATGATAGAACTAGAAAATGGTTTCAGAAGCAATAAAATTATTGCAGACTAAATAAAATTTAATGATATATTTGAGGAATAATAAATTTTTTGTCTGAAAGTTTGTCTATTAGAAAATTCTCTACCCGAAGTGCACATGTACAGCCAGAATTAGGACACTATTCCACAACAGTATGGTTCATTTAACAGCCAAGCAAATGGAACCATTCAGCTGAGATTCCCAGAAAAAGCCTACATTCTAGACTAAGTTATCTGAGCTTACACAAGTAAAGACTTAAGAAAAAAACTGACAGAAAAAAAAAAAAAAGAGATCAACATATTCAATCAGAGAAAACTAAGCTGTAATACTAAGATGTTAAATGTTAGCAACAAACAAGCTTCTGGAAGAAAGTATCTGCAAGCTGTGTGGAAACACACTCTTCACTCAAACACACACACACACGAAGGAATGTGTTGAATACATTTTCCGAAAGAAAGAACTTCAGGCCATGTGCGGGTGGCTTATGCCTGTAATCCCAGCACTTTGGGAGGACAAGGTGGGAGGATCACTTGAGGTCAGGACTTCAAGACCATTCTGGCCAACATGGTGAAACCCTGACTCTATTAGAAAAAAAAAAAAATACAAAAATTAGCCAGGCATGGTCACGCACGCCGATAGTCCCAGCTACTCGGGAGGCTGAGGCACGAGAATAGCTTGAATCCAGGAGGTGGAGGTTGCAGTGAGCCAAGATCGCACCACTGCACTCCAGACTGGGTAACAGAGTGAGACTCCCTCTGTCGAAAAAAAAAAAAGAACCTCTGCAGCAGGATAGGTAAAAAAGCCCAGTGAGCATTTTCTTGAAACTCTGTCAAGTCTTCTAAAAGTCATTGACGCTATGCTGTATTCCATCTCGACTGAAGGAAACCAGCAGGACACAGGAGGAGGAGCGGGGAGAACTGCAAAGGCCCACAGAAGCAGCTTGTCCACTGGAAACAACCCAGGATCCCTGCCCATTGTCCTAGCCTTGCAAAATCCAGTGACCATCCTCAAGGGAGGCAGCCTGATTTCAGTTAGAATCACTCTTTTGGATGCAAAACCATCTGTCCAAGAACCTTGGTTCTTCAAAACCATCACTCTGGGACAGAAAATGTTCTAGAGAATCAGCAAAAGTAAGCAAAATCTTTGCTATTCTATGTCATTTTTCAGAGCGTAAAACAGCCAATGGTCCCTCTCTCATTCTCAAAAAATCCAAATGCATTCCAAAGCCAGCCCGACAGCTGGAGATACACACATGTGCTGCTGCAGCTCCTCCAGACAGTGCTCCCCGGCCGAATCCACAGCTCTGGCACTAGCTGCAATGGCACTTTATACAGCTTAGTGGTGGCATCTTCTGAGGTGCCTGTTATCCCCAGCGACACCGTCACTCTGGGACAGTAATGTCCTCCCTCCTGGAGCAATGACTGGCAGATGCAGGATCACCATCTACTGATGGCTTGAGAAGGAAACTGGCCAGTTTGGCTAAGAACCCACGACAGCACAGCTCTCACCCACACGGCTAACACGTGAGCCAAATCTCCCCACAGAACTGGACGCCATTATCCAACCCTCCCAAGTTCCTCAGCTTTGAGGCCAAAGATCCCAAGGCTCAGAAGGAGGAACTTGCCCAGCATCACAGAATTACAAAGTGAAGAATAAACCCAGGCAGTGTGAGGCCCAAGGGTGAGTCCTTAACCACTTACGTAAATGGCTACATTTATTTTCCATTTTAAAAAACGGTTTTAACTTTTCAGACAACATTCAGTTTCAGTTACAACACGAAAACTGGCAAAACATTCCACAAAACTTTAGTTTAAATCTTGTCACAATAAATGTCATTAAAATGATAGACTCTGTATAGCATAAAGATCTCTGAGTTCCTATTATATTGCCAATCACCTATATAATTTGATTCAATAAAATGCTAGTCATATAGAAAAATTAAAGTCATCCCTTCACGGCACCTTGTAATCACAGATACAAGATCCCCAGTACAGGCCTGAAACCAGGAATATGGTTTCAGATGTGGTTTTTCCTTTACATACATACCCATGATTAAGTTTAATTTATAAATTAGTTGTTGTAAAAGAGTAATAACTAATAATAGTACAATTATAACTGTAATAAATGGTATGTGAATATGGCGTCTCTCCCTGTGTCTCAAAATATCTTAATATTTTCAGACTACAGGTGACCATAGGTAACTGAAACCTTAGGAAGTGTAACTGCTGATGGGGGGACTGGTTTACAGTCACTCACTTAATGATGGGGATACACTGTCAGAAATGTGTCATGAGGCAATTCTGTCACTGCACAAACATCACTGAGTGTATCTGCACACACATAGATGGTGTCACCTCCTACAAACCTAGGCTATATGGTATGTCCTATTGTTCCCAGGCTACAAACCCGCACAGCATGATGCTGCATTGAATACTGCAGGCAACTGCAATACATGACACATACTTAAACATAGAAGAGGTGCAGCAAAAATATGGTATGAAAGATTAAAATGGCACACTTGCCTAGGGCACTTAGGATGAACAGAGCCTGCAGGACTGGAAGTGGTTCTGGGTGAGCCAGTGAGTGAGTGGATGTAAAGGCCTAGGACCTGACTGGACGCTTTTATAAGACTGGTAGCGCAGTGGGTTCGTGTACAGCAGTTATTACCACAAACATGTGACTAATGCGTTGTGCTATGGCGTTACAACGGCTACAGCATCACTAGGTGATAGGAATTGTTCAGCTTCATCATAATCTTCTAGGACCAAGGTCATTTATGCAGACAGTAGTTTAGGCAGTACGTCATTGGCCAAAACGCTTCTCTTCTCATTTTTAATGTCATGGATACTACTTGAATAATAAAGGCAGAATTCTAAGAGTGGTTGAACCCATCTGAGGACAGCCTCTATGAAAAAGCTGTGAACTGTACAAAGATTCAGACCCCATCACATCACGCTATCAACAGATCATATGCTTTCTTGCTCAACTTCTTCCCCAAGCTTAAACTTCTGCTACTCTATACTCCCAGTCCACTTCTGCTTTCTCTTCTACACAGTGTGAATTGCCAAACACCAGAGCATTGCCTTCCACAACCTCTCTTCCCATACCCAATTGGTTTCCATGGAAATAATACCAATTCCTTCAGTCGGCTCCTTCCCACTGGCTGCACTGTCCTTGCTATTTCTATACAAGAAGCTTGTGAACTCCACAAACAGGGACCACATCTATATTGTCTTCCTCAACTCAGATGCACACTCTCCTTTAATCAGACTACTCAGCTCAGCAGAGTCCAACAGTGAGTGTTATCCACAACTCAGAAACATTCTATAATCAACCCATCAGGCCCAGCAGGAAACAGGGAGCAGCAGAAGTCACACACAAGGCAAATGACTTTAGAAGATGTCTGCTTTTAAAGCAAAGTCTGTGGTTTGAAACATACCCTATTTTTTTAATTTAACAAGGACAATTAATTTAACCATATAAACCAAATACACCGTCGGAATCTTTCCCATAAAGAAAGCTCAGATACAGTTTTGCTCCTGACTGGAATCTCACTGCTTCTGCTGAAACCATCCTGGAGAACTGCAGTCAGTTCACGCCTGTTCAGAAGCACAGAGGTCCCATTTTAACCTCATTTGCTTGGAATTTCATAATATCCTGAAAGGTGCTGGCAGATTACCAATTAGAAGGAAGCACACAAGTAACAGACTGTCAGCCAACCCAGAGACAGGAAGGTGTTTCTACTTTCCTGCTACTGTTCCAGCAAGGGCCGCATTCAAAACCCACCCTGGTCAAGACGAAACCAATCGAGGGGCAGCAATGAAGAAGTGAATCTAACTCCAGGCCGACACAGTTGCCTGGAGTTCAAAAAGCTTAAAACAGAGAGATGGAGAGCCAGCTTTACTGAGTGAGTTCTAAACGTCTGTCCAAAAATGAAAAATAAAAAATTCAAAATACTATGTCATAGGGATACAGATATAGAATATCTTTAAACTGACATTGGTATCTTAACATGACAGCTCTCAGAGTTTTCATATACGCCATCACCGAATGCTTACAAAACCACAATAGCTTGCGAGATGTAATTTGGAGTTCTTTCCTTTTAAAAATAACTAGCGTCTAAAGTATGTAAAATTCTATGATCAAAATATATGGTATCCTCAATTTCTTAAAAGAAAACAAATCTTAGAAAACTGGGTTGTTTCCTTTCAACACAAAACATCTCCATGAAGTATCACTCTGTCCCTTCCTCATTTATTGCCATAAAGCCAAACTCTTTTAAAATATATCTTAGTTTCCTCAGTTCCTGTCAATCTTGGGGTTATGCTAATTGTCATGTAACTATTAAACATTTTATTACTGGCCTGCAATTAATAATCAACACATAAAGCAAGATAAAGGCAGGATGGGATCAGTAATAATATAAGTAGGCATGTGTGAATCTGTAATTTGGTTTCCTTAGAAGCCAGAAACCCAGTTGGTGACACATAAGTGAAATTCACATAACAAGATACGTAGTCACTAGCTAGAGAAATGTTTCTCTGAGGCTACAGCAAGGAACAAATCTAACAACTTGGAGACAAAGAGAATGTGAAGTCTTTCCAACCTGAACATCCAAAAAACATTTTCCTACTTTTGACATGCATGCAAGTCCTCTCACAGAATATTCAAGAAATCACCTGGCTCACTACTGCCCCTTATCAGTATCAGACAGTGTTTCAGATCATACATATCCAGCACCGTCACCTTCAGAAATCCAGACCAGTCTCCTAAACTAAGGAGGAAGGGAAAAAACAGCAGGGAAGAGGAGCAAGGAGGCCAGGTTCCCACACCGGACCTTGGCAGCAGAATGTCAAGAACGTGAGGTAAACACTGTCGTCAACAACTTTCTATTGCCTACACTAAAACAGAAACAATCTGATTTGCACGAAGACTCGTACCCCGAAATAAAGGCTGGGGAAGCACATGAGTTTGACACAGCATGGCCAGGGCTTATATAGGAAGTACTTCACTTCCTATTCTATCAAACCCACAAAGCTGTGGACAAAGATACAGGGCTGACAAATACAAATAAAGAGAAGCAGGGAAGTGCCAGACGTCAGCCTTTGGTTTTCCCTGAGAGGTATGCAGGGTCTGGAAGGAAGCCCGGTGCATAGAGAGGGATTCGGTTAGAAGCTCTAAGTCAAACTTGGCATCTAAGTCAACGTCAGAGCCCACAGAACCGGGGCAGGCAATGGGGACTGCGTAACAGAGGTCACCTAGAATAGACAGGGGAGAATTCTCCTGGCTACCCTAAGAAAGGTCCCATGCAGAGACTGGGCCAGATTCCTGCCCCAGCGCTGACCAACAGGCTGCGTGAGCCACAGTCTCTCCCAGCTCAACTTCCTCGACAAAACTCAGCTAGCCCTCAAGGACGCTGTGAGGGAAAAAAACACCACCAGAAACAGAGAGTTTTTGAGACAGACTATGATCTAAAGCTTTCATTTGAATCCAGAGAGAGATCTGGACGGCTTAAAAACTAAGTTTACAAAAAAAGGTGAGTTGGCTGGGGGCGGTGCCCTCTGAAAGGACTGTCACATGACACTGGCAAAGAACTGGAGGGAGAGCCGGGCAGGCCCCTGTCCGGAGGAATCTCGGCGGAGCTGATGAAGACAGAGACACACGCACTCAGACAAACACACACACACACTCTCAGACACACACGCTTGCACTCACACACTCATGTACTCACACACGCACTCACACACACACACACTCAACTGCCTCCTGGGACTTCTCAGGACAGGCATGGCACTCTGGGCCTGCCCGCCCTGCACCATCCACAGCAGAGACAGGTGAGTTCAGCGCTTCCAGCAGGAGAGCAGCAGGGGAAACAGGACCCGTGCAAACACGCCAGGGCGTGGCATTCCCAGGAGGTGGGCAAGTGCCCTCCACAACAGAAAGCTACCAGAAAAATGGCCGGCCCTGTCTCTGCTAGCCTTGGCTCAGATCAACTCAACGGTAGAGGATGCAGGCCAGTATTTCAACTCTAAGCCCTGCTCTGTGATGATTTTCTTCCAATAAGAGCAATTACCTGGGCGGTCTCATACTTCGCTCCTCATATATAAAGAAGAGTTGTAGATGGGCTAAACCCCCTGCTTCACCATGTGGATGTCTGAGTTCAACCGCCTTTAAGAACAACACAGCCCCCCACCGCAGAATTCAGACCTTAATATTCAGCCCCCTACTCTCCCTGTCACCAAGGTCCCAAAAAACCCTTCCAGACCCAGGGTCCTTCCTGGGTGTGCGAACTACAAGGGAAGGTGGGCCTTTCTAGAAAACTCACCGGCTGTCAGCTCAGCTGGGTGGCCCACGACGCCAGTGAGGCCACTGCCAGGCGGTGGTTCCTCACAAACGCCAATCAGGGGGACACAGGAGAAAGGCCCCTGCTTTGAAGATGCTGGGGCCAAACATCAGACGGCAGAGGCTCCGCAAAGCCTAACACCCAGCGGGGGCTGCTTAACACCCAGCTAGGCTCCCTCTCCACCTTCCTGGAGACACAGAACTGACAGCCTAGTGAGGTCCTAGTGAGAGGTACGTGACTTTGCCTCAGGTCACAAATTCACAAAGTGGCCAAGTCCATGTTAGAAAGAGGCTAGTCCTCCTCCAGAGCTCAGGCTACCTCCATCGCAGCCTAAAGGCAACCTGAAGAGGAAAAGCAGCTACCTTGCTAAATTGCAACCCTTATCTAGGGATCTCGCAGCTCCCTGAGGCAATCCAAGCAATCGACCCTTCCATGTGCCTTTCAATCGACCCACCTACTGAAATCCGCAAGGGCTCTGGTTTTTACCCAGAGGGAGCCCACAGTCCCACAGCCCCTGTGACCTGGCCACAGCTAGTCCTCCACGCTCTCTGGCCCCTCCCTCCATTCTCCCAGTGACTCAGCCCACTCAGCCACGCTGGACCCTTGGCTGCCTCTCAACCAAGTCAGACATGCTTCCCTCCAGGTCTGACACGTAGGCCCCTAATCCGCGTGCCTGGTTCACTCCCTCACTTCCAGCCTCTTACAGAAAGGCCTGGGGACAGTGGACTCTCCTATAAAATGGCCCCATCCTCGGGGCCCCACCCCTGACTCTGCCACCAGCTCTCCTCTCCCTCTGCAGGTCCAGCAAAGTCAAGGCCATGAGCTCACGCTGCCTGTCACTCTAAAGGGGTGACTCTAAAAAGACAGAAAAAAAAAGAGAGAAGTGCTGGCATAACTGACGCACTTCAAGAGCAGAGACCAGGTGGAGGGAGGGTGCCTCAGGGGAACAATGAGGGTGACTCACTGGAGTCTCAGACTTGCCACTTCTAGGAAACCCACTTCTTTAGCGCTTCTATTCTGGTGGCTTGGCACTCTATTTGCAGGCCACAGTGGGGTGCAGGGAGTGTTGGGGGAGTTTTTTAAGTACTAAACAGCTGTTTTAAAATGTATAACTGATTCTGGAGTAGAGACAACTGTGCAGATGGCAACGAGGTAATTTTACACACACTCAAAATCCAGTGGTGGGTCCGCTCTGAAGGAGCTCTCTCCTCCTCCCAGCACACAGCAGGCATGAAGAAGGTGGCAGCCCTGACTGCAAGACCCTCCTGACCTTCCCTCTAGGCCACAGCCCACAGGCAACTCAAACTGCAAAACAAAGGCCAGTTTTCGCTGTCACACATTCCTGAAAACAGAGCTTGGGCCAGTGCTTCCACCACCTCCCTCACTTTCCACACCCCTCCCTGTGAAGGATGACACTCCTGGGATCTGCTTCTTCATCCTGGACAACTTACCCTCCAGATGTACTGAACAATGGTTGTAGCCCAGGGGAGCGAAAAACACACAAAAGGAAAAAGAAAACTCCCACCACAGGTCTGCAGCTGGCTGAAGAGCCAGGTTCACAGAGCGCCTGGGATTTTCCCCACCCTGGAGGATTCACAGGGAAGTGCCCCTCTGCCCTGGCTAACATGGGGACAAAAATAGGCTTATGACGCATTGCTTTGGGCACCTCGAAAACCTAAGCCACCATACTTTTTTTTTAAGTTGCACAGCAAGGTAGAATTTATGAAGCACTTCACATCCAAGCCACTGGCCTGGACACTTCCGTTGCCACTTACAACAGCACCCATGTGCAGAAGTGAGCTGGGACTTCCTGATCCAACCACAGGGAAACAGGGAGGACGGCTCTTCGTGCCCTGGAACCACAACAGCCCCCTTGCTCCCAGCCCAGCCTGGGACCAAACCGCCACAGGAAGGAGGGTGACCCCCGGCCTCCACCCAAACTCCACACCTCGAGTTATCATTGTTCAGGGGAATCCGAGTCCGTAAGGACTCCTCAAGGCTGCAAACCTCAGAACTGCAGAATTTGGGATGCAAAATGGACCTGGAAATCATGGAATCCCGTGGTTTTAAAACTTTAAATTTTAAACAGTGGAAACCTTTCTTTCTCATGAGGAAGCTTACATGGAATGCCCATCATGAAACTGATGATGAAGAAATGCTGTCTGGTTGAGGCAGAAACCCCAAGACACTAATGGAGAGTGCTGGCAGGCCAAGAAACAGGTTATAAAAATAAATCCCTGATGTAAGGCAGCATCTGTAACTTACAGATAAAGCAACTGCTACCACTACAGCACCGATGAACACCGAGGACGTGCCAGGCATTCAAATGTCTCCCAATTCCCACACCTAGCCTACAACATGGTTAGCATCCCACACCTAGCCTACAAACACAGTTAGCATCCTGACTGGACACACACGGAAAGGAAGACCTTGAAGGCTCGGTGACTTGCCCAAGGCCTGTGAGGGGAGAAGTCTGGATTCAAAACCAGGAAAGTGACTTCCAAAACTAACTCCCTAATGAGAGGCTTTCAAGCAGGAAAGAGGGAAAGAAAACTAAGTCCCACCTCTCTTGAGGAGGAAAATGAGATCCAGAAAAAAGAAGTGATTGGACACAGCCGACTCAACAATCCAGATCCCCCATCTCAGGCCACACGCTGCCAGCAGCAATCAACAGGGGTTTAGCAGCTGTCTCTTGGCAGGAATGGCGCTTAGGGGTGACATCAAGAGGGTGGAAAGGACCTAAGGCGCCAAGACCAGCCACAGAGGCACATCCTGCCCATCCCCCAGTCTCCCCAAAAACAATTTGCAGCCAAATTCCAACAACTGCTCCCAGCCCTGCCCTATGCAGCTGCACAAAGAGGCAGCCAAGGCCGGGTGGAGACCCACTGCAGAGAGCACGGTCAGGAGGCACTTATCACTGCAAGGTCACCAGCACCACGCAATCACGGTGACAAACTCAAACCAAAGAAACTGGACCCAAGGAAAAAGAATGAATAGGGCAATCAGAACAGAACTTTAAGAGAGATCTTCAGAGGGTTGACAGAAGCTACAGCGTCCACGTAGAAAGAACAGGCAGCTGTGACTACAGATCAGCTGAGATCCTGTAACAAAAGACAACAGGGAAGCAGAAGAGCATTTGAACCACGGGAGAACCGGTAAGCTGGGCGACAGCAGCAACCGATATCTGTCTACGTGCCTGTCCACAGCGGCAGCCAGATACAAATAATAAAAGCAACAGACAAACCAGAGAAGAGTTAGGGCAAAGAAAAGCTGAACAGCACCATGAGTAACTTTGACCCAAACAGAGAACATTTTTTCCAAACACATAATACACTCCCAACTTGACTAGGTGTTAGGCCACAAGGGAAATGTCAGTAAGTGCCACCACATTTACCAGCACAATGGAAAACCTAAATTAAAAACCCCCAAAGTTTATTGACCTGAAAAAAATAAAAATCTAAAAATTTATTGGGTCCAGGAAGTTGAAACAGATAGAACTTTTGAGTCCAAAAAGGAAATACACAGAATTGAAATATGGAAAAAAAAAAAAAAAAAAAAAAGTATCAGAATCCATGAGAGTGGTATGGTACTCCACAGAAAGAAACATGAAGCTTTAAATATATTTCTTAATTATGCAAAATGATTTAAAATAAAAGAGCTAAGCATTCAATTCAAACTAGAAACAGGAAAATGATGTAGAAGTTACTGAGTGGATAAATTAATAAAATTGCAAATAAATGGTGAAAAGATGATGAAAAAACAAAACACTAGTTCTTTTGCAAAGACTTTAAAAAGGTAAATAAGTCTTTAGTAAATATAATTACGGAAAAAAGTACATAAGTAAACATTAGGAATTTTTAAAATTTACCTAGAGCTATAGAGTATCAAAAATATGACAGTAGCATGCTACTTATTTATATATGAATACATAATTACAATGACAATTTTCTAGGAAAACAGAGATTACCAAAATTGGCCCAAGAAAAAGTAGAAAATCTGAATAGAAAAATAAACTAGATAAAACTGAAACCATAATCAAAAGTCCTCCCCAATGATATTCCACCTAAGAGCACCAGGCCCAGATAGTTTTACTGGTGAGTTCTACCAAACTTTAAGAAACAGAAAATGTCCATCTTATATACAAACTGTTTCACCACATACGAAAATACTAAAAGCTAACTAGCTCCTTCCACAAAGCAAACACATTATTGATAACAAAATCTGTCAAGAACGGCAGAGCAAAAAAACTGTAGCCCAATCTCACTTAAAAACAGAGCTGTAAGCACATTTTATAAAGTATTAGTAAACAGAACTGGATATATTCATGGAAAAAAAATGAACTTTCACCCTTTTTGTGGCGTTATTTACATATGTATGTGTGCGTGTATACACATATATGTATGTATGTATGTATTTTTTCCCAATCTGGTTCCTGGCTCCTAACTCCCGCAGTCCTTGTGTCGGTCTTTTGTTATAATGTCGGGCATGTCAGGCCTCAGGAAACAATCTCTCCACCTGCCCCTCCTTCCACCTGCCCCAAGGCAGAACTCTCATCTTCCCCACTTTCAGACTGTGGGTCTTAAGATCCTCCCCAGTGAGGGTCCCACCCTATACCCTGGGAGAAGAAATGCTGACCTCCTAAAGCTTCCATAAAAACTGGGTTGGGGGAGCTTCCAAATCGTTGAATGCACGGCAGTTCCTGGAGGGTAGTGAGCCAGGGAGGTCACGGAGGCTCCGCACCCCTTCCCCCATACCTCACCCTACACATCTCTTCACCCGTATCCATTGTAATATCCTTATAAACTGCCAATCATCAGCTTATGTTTAGTGTTTCCTCAGTTCTGTGAGTCACTCTAGCAAATTAATCAGACCCAAAGAGGCACTGTGGGAATCCCAAATTGAAGCCAGTTGGTCAGAAGTTCCCGAGGCCTGGACTTGCGACTGGTGTGGGTTGGGGAGCAGTCTTGGGAACTGAGCCCCAAACCTGTGGCATCTGACACTATCTCCAGGTAGACAGGGTCGGGAATTGAATCGGCCAGGGGTCACTGCTTGGTGCCCGGGGAAAAACCACTACACATTTGATCACAGAAGTCTTCTGTGTTAATGATTGTTGTCATGGAATGAGAGCAAAGGAAAAATATGGTTTGAGTTTTCTGGAAACATCATATATAAAAATTAAATTTAAAAAATTGATCCTAGAGTTAAGGAATCACAGTTAAAACTATAAAACTTCTAGGGGCAGTCATAGGAAAAAATCTTTGAGACCTTGGGGTAGGCCAGTGGTTCTGAATTGGGTGTGATTTTGCCCCCTCCCCTCCAGGGCCTTTGATATGTCTGGAGACATTTTTATTTGTCACCACTGGGGGAGAGGGAGTGGTGGAGTGTAGTCTTGGTATCTAGTGGGTAGAGGCCAGGAATGCTGGCTGACATCCTACAACGCCCAGGACAGTCCACAAAAAATTCCCCAGGTCAAATGTTACTAGTTCTAGGGTTGATTTCTTAAGCTACCAAAAGCACAAACCACAAAGAGTTACAGTCCATCAAATTTTTTAAAAATCTGTTCTTCAAAGGATATCACTGTGAAAATTTAAAGGCAAAGCAAAGACTAAGAGAAAATACTCATACTACTCACACCTTACTCATATCTAAGAAAGAACTTGTACCCAGAAGACATGAGGAACTCTTACAACTCAATAAGGAGAAGACCCCAAAAACAATTTTTAAGGGGTAAAACGGGCAAAATATGATTTTTAAAGGACGCTGCAAAAAATACCCAATAGTAAGCACATGATCATGGTGAACATCACCCAGGACTCCAATAAATACAAGAAAAGATGTTCCTTTCTTGCTCAACTTGATGAGTCAGCAGAGAGATGAAAACTGAAACCACACTGAGATACCACTACAACTCCACTTGAAAGGCTAAAATTAAGACTGGCAGGTGTCGACAAGGATGTAGAACTGGAACTCTCATACATCACTGGTGGAACTGCAAAATGGTAATTCGGCATTACAGTTTGGCGGTTCCCATAAAGTCAAACAGCCACGTCCACCTCCTCACACACCATTCACGACCAGCTAGGGCATTAGCAAGAACTCTCCATGGCTAGGACAATCAAAAGAAGAAAAGGAAGAAGAAAAAGAACAGCACCTCAAAGTGATGAGCTGCTCTCTGCCACTAGGCTCAGTTCTAGAGCCTGCTCAACTCTCTCCCCAATACAATAGTTCATATACCAAGATCAAAATAGAGAAGGGAACATCTCAATTATTTCTCTCAGCCCCATCTTTTAAAAATCTCTCTCTCTATGAAATGCTGATAAAAGATATGAGGCCCAACTCAGGCACTCATTTCCTGGGAATCTGCCAGGATGCCGTTCTAAGAATTAATCCATGAGATCTAATGTAACCATAATTAACAACCTTAGGCATCCACATAC